GCCCCCTCCCCGGCGTCACCACACGGCTCTCTGTGTCTGCGGGTTGTGCGTAGTTGTTCTTTGCCCCCTTCACCTTCTCTCATCCAGGCCCCGTCCCTCCCCCCGGCAGCTGCCGGTCTGGTTCCTGACCGTCTGCCTCTGTTTCTATTTTGTTTGTGAGTTTACTTTGTTCATTAGAGTCCACGCATAAATGAGATCATGTGGTATTTGCCTTTTCCCAACTAGCTTATTTTAGGCAGCATTATACCCTCCAGGTCCCTCATGCTCGCTCAGAGAGACGAGGTCCTGAGGTCCTTCTTCTTCGCAGCTGCGTAGTATCCACGTGTGAATGTCCCACGGCTTTTCATCCATCACCTACGAGGGGCACTTGGGCTGTGTCCAGATCTTGGCTACTGTAAACTGCGCTGCTATGAACACAGGGGAGCATATATTCCTTCTGATGAGTGTTTCAGGTTCTTAGGGTACATTCCTAGGAGTGGGGTCCCCGGGTCAGAAGGCAGCTCCATGTTTAATCTTTTGAGGACCCTCCACACTGTTTTGCACAGTGGCTGCCCCCGTCGGCATCCCCCCAGCAGGGCGCTCGGGAACCAAATACTTTTGATTTCTCTCTCATAACACAGGCTGTGTTTTTAGGCCATTTGATAAACTTGCGTTGTGCCACGGGGCCACAGAGGTGGAAACACTTCACATACTGAGAAAACAGGATGTTACCTCGAGTGCTTTACGGCAAGTCATGAACGTCCTCATTAATCTTATGATCCCAGCACCACATCAAGCTCTAGGAGCTTAGTGTCGAGTGAGCGAGTGGATATGTGAAGTGGACGTCATAAAAAAGTGGTCAATCGAAAAGAGATTCACTGAGCAGCGAGGCCCTCAGCGTGGGCACAGCACCCCCTCTGTCCCCTCTTAGCCGGGACGAAGGGTCTGCATCGGTGGCATCAGGCAGAGCTTCCGGATGAAGTCAGAGGCTGACGCCTGGAGCTGTCACAGAGGCCGGACTCGAGACGTGGGCTTGGCCCCCCGTGTTCTGGGGAAACAAGCGCCGACCGCCAGCCCCTTGCAGCTGCCGGACCTCAGGTGTGTCCTGAGCTGTTCTGTCGGCGAACTGAAGAGAAGCCGAGTTTAGGTGATGAGGAATCGATCCACCATGTCGCAGGGAAGCTTAGCTTTAAATAGTGTGGGGAATACGTAGGGGGCAGAAGTTAGGAAAAAGGGTGCATAAAAGTCGTGTCGACCCGGGAGCAGTAACCACGCGCAGGCCTCCATCTGGTAACCATCCGGGCAAAGCGGACCATGAAAATAAGCAAGCGTGAAAGCACCGCGTTCCTGCAAGGAGGCGACACGTGCTGAGAGGAAACCCGGAGATCACAGGGCAGTCACTCGTCTGACACTGCGCTGTGGAGCCGGAGGAAGGGGCCTCTGAGCGCTCCCGTGGCAGCTGCGGCGTGGATTGTTGCTCCTTCTGAAGAGACAGGATGAGGCGAACAAGGCCAGCAGCAGCATCTCTGTTTCACAGGAGGACACGTATGGTGGGTTTAGTGGCTCTAGAATTGTTCAGTAGACCGTGTGACCAATATCTTCCGTAGCAAGATGGGCATCAACCACCACGGTGATAGCCACAGTGGTAGCCACGGCTGGAGCCACGTCCGGAGCCACGGCCCCCATAGCAGTTGCCGAGGTGCTCGTGGCATCGGCGGTGGGTGGCTCGGGTGTGGGGAGAAAGGTGGTTTCCTGCGTGGCAATGTCACCACCTTCACAAGGCCCTGCAACACCCCCAGCAGCAGGCGTGGCAAGTCACAGAAAAGGCTGCTCTCCTTACGGATTGTTTTGCAGGAGCCACAAACATCACCAACAGCAAAATGCTCATAAATGTCCCATTTCATTAGCTGTGGGGAGCCCTCCCTAGACAAGGTGCTGCATCAAGATTTGCACAATCAAATCACGGGCTTGAATGAGAGCCTTTGACTTGGTTTTAAAGCCCTTCTCAGCAAGGGCTCACGCTCAGATTTCATGATGAGATTCTATGAAATCACAGAAACTGTGCGAACTGCAGCGGATGCTGAGGGTTTGTGTTTACTGACACCCTCCCGTCCATCTGCCGCTGCGGCCGAGGCGGCCGCTCTGCTGAGCTTCGGGGAAACAGGAACGGGGCAGGGCCGGTTAAAGCAGCCACACCGCCCTTCACAGGGAAAGCAGTTGTATTTAAATACATAACTCAGGCGACATTTTACAGGGTACAACTTCACAAGTGCACACGTATACTTCAATTTTTTTTATATTTACCCAATTCTNAACTTCACAAGTGCACACGTATGCTTCAATTTTTTTTATATTTACCCAATTCTATCTTGAGTCACCACGTCCAAGAGCTGGACAAACATTTATTCTTGTTCCTTCCAGGCAAACTCAACATAATCCATTTAATGTTAAGCTCAATAGAATTGAATCCTGAAACTCGATGAGTCAGGATTGAAACTCAGTTGTATGAACGGTGTTGTCTCCCCTCCTCCCGAGGTGGACGTTAAGGTGACCGGAGTGTGCACCTTGTCTGTCTGGGCTGCCATCTGTCCCTCTCCTGATGTCCGGGTGGCGCCCTGAGGCTCTCTAGTCATAAGTCTGGTTGTGCTGGGAGATCAATGAGTCTGCACTTAGCTCCACCTGGGCGGGAACCAGCTGCATCTCCATCCACCTGGGTGATGCCTGTGGGACCTGGGTGGGAACCAACTGTGTTCTCTGTCTGCTTGGGGGATGTTTGTGGGTCACCGATGGGACTTGCTCCTTCTCGGCGACATCGGAGTGTGCCTTNGGGGGAACCAGCTGCATCTCCATCCAGCTGGGTGATGTCTGTGGGACCTGGGTGGGAACCAGGTGCATCTCCACCCACCTGGGTGATGCCTGTGGGACTAGGGGGGGGGAACCAGGTGCATCTCCATCCACCTGGGTGATGCCTGTGGGACCTGGGTGGGAACCAACTGTGTTCTCTGTCTGCTTGGGGGATGTTTGTGGGTCACCGATGGGACTTGCTCCTTCTCGGTGACATCGGAGTGTGCCTTTCTCGACGCTCAGGTGCCCAGCCTGATGCAGGGTTTGACCCGAGGCCCCTCAGTGAGGAATTAGCTGCGTCTGAGCTCTGATGCTGAGCTCATCAACCNCGCGTCTGAGCTCTGACGCTGAGCTCATCAACCTCCACTGAAGCTTGTATGCGGGGGAACAGTGATCAGATGAAACAAATACTAAGAACATACATAATTCTAGCACCTACTACGTGCCCGACACATGTTAACTAACGATTCTTGAAGTTGTCTTGCGGAGCCCTGGCTGGCATAGGTCAGGTTCGAGTGTCGGCCTGCGGACCGAAGGGTCGCGGGTCCAGCTCCCCGTCAAGGGCATGTACCTGGGTTGCAGGTTTGATCCCCGGCTCTGGTTGGGGTGCCTGCGGGAGGCAACCAATCGATGTGTCTCCCTCACATCCATGTTTCTCTCTCTCTGAAAAAAAGAAAAAAAAAAATCAATGGAAAAAATATCGTCAGTGAGAATTAACAAAAGAAATAAGTCGTCCTGCGGGGAAATATTATCATCACCCCATCTCCAGGTGAGGCACCTGAGGCTCACAGGTGGCCGCACAGCCATAGGTGGCCGAGGTGAGACTCCAGCCCAGGGGCCGATTCTAGGACTTCCTCGCGCGTCCACTGTGCTCCTGGAGCCTGTGAAGCCACCTAAGGATGTGCGCTGGGGGGCGGCTGGACTCGATCACTGAATTTAGCGCTGAGCTTCATAACAACAACGAAATGGTCCTTGGTGACGGTTCTCACAGTCTGAGCTGCTGGACCCAGGACCCCTGGCCTGTTGGTGAAAATCGACCGGTACCAGGAAACATCGTTTCCAGCGTCACTGCTCCTATGTACCCTTGACTCGGAGCACAAAGATGACAAATACGCTGAAATCTAAAGAAAACTCTTTCGTGAAAATGCAGTTTTAGAAACGAAATCTCAGCGTGTCTATTTTCTGGCCATAGATTCAGGATATAAATTCGAAACCATGGTAAAAATACTTGGTGTTTTAAAAAAACAGAGCCATAGAAGGAAATACTAATGTCAGCGAGCAAGGGGTTCAGCCTCACCAGGACGGCTGCTGTAGGATCTCAACCTGTTGGCTTTTTGTCAAAAGTCTCGTGGAGCTGAGTAATAACTCGGCTTTTGATAGAAAACCGTCTCTCATGTAAAACCGAGGAGAATTCATGCGGAGGAAAGAGGGTTTGGAGCAGGGAAGAGGGGGAGAGACTAAGGTTCAGGTAGCTCCTCGCGACCTGTTGAATATCAGCCAAAAGAAGGTGAAGCTGTTGGTTGCCTGGAGCAGGCCGGAGTGTCTGCTAAAAATGCTGCTTCTTCCATGGAGCTGGTTACAAATACGTAATTTGATGAGCTTGTGTGAGCAGGATTTTGAAAATGAGACAATCAGTTCCTATTAATGACTCACCGATGATTCAGCTGTGGCTAAACAATAACAGACACTCTCAGCATCCCCCGAGGCCATGCCCGAAGGCCAGGACTCTACAAATTACTCAAATGGGTGCCAGAAATTAGCCAGTAACACGCCTTGCGCTGTGCGTCCCACCGACACTGAGCGTATAAAAGGCCCCTGTGAGGAGAGGAGCCCAGACTGAAGTCACCTCCACCCCTGCTCCACCCAAGGACAAGCTAACAACCNAAAATTAGCCAGTAACACGCCCCTCGCTGTGCGTCCCACTGACACTGAGCGTATAAAAGGCCCCCTGTGAGGAGAGGAGCCCAGACTGAAGTCACCTCCACCCCTGCTCCACCCAAGGACAAGCTAACAACCAGCACCATGTGCGGCTACTACGGAAACTACTACGGGGGCCTCGGCTACGGAGGCTGCGGCTACGGAGGCCTGGGCTGGGGCTGTGGCTCCGGCTATGGCTGTGGCTTCCGTGGACTTGGCTGTGGCTACGGCTATGGCTGTGGCTTCCGTGGACTGGGCTGTGGCTATGGCTGTGGCTACGGCTCCCGCTCTCTCTGTGGCTGTGGCTATGGCTGTGGCCGTGGCTATGGTTCTGGCTTTGGCTACTNGGGCTGTGGCTACGGCTACGGCTCCCGCTCTCTCTGTGGCTATGGCTGTGGCCGTGGCTATGGTTCTGGCTTTGGCTACTACTATTGAGGATGCCACGGGGACTCACCCTCCACACCTGGATGTCGGGGTTCACTGTCTAAAAGCCACGTGCTCCGAGCCTCGCTGAAGGCTTGCCTTCCAGCGCCCCCTGGATCTGACACCCCACCTTCCCCTTCCCGTGTCTGACCAATGAGAGGGGATCATGGGAAGTTCATCCCGAGACTCCTATGTGGTCTCTCGTGGGAACAATGCTGACACAGCTCCTGCCCTTGACTTTTATGTAGGAGTCGTTTCTCTGATTTCCTAATAAACCTGTTCAACCTGAAATGATCAGCCTGCGTTACTTTTATTTCAAGTCCAGTGTTTGTCATTTTGGTTTTACCCCTAATTGAATTCAGGGAGCAGTTGCCTTACTTAGGGAATCTCTTCTTCTAATGTTTCTACTTCAGCTGCTCTACTGGGTCCTTCATTCGTGACATTAAGGAAGCGACAACCTCGTAGCCCCGTTTCCCACTCTGGTGGAGCAGCGATGGGGTGGGTCCTGTTGGGTTCGGGTTAAAGGAGGTCACGTTCCCAATTCAGTGAAGTGTCACCTGGAACCACGACACGCGCTAAGAGCTTTTACACCAAACCCTTGGCCTGGGAAACCCTTCGGAAGACGCGAGCGTTGGCACGTGGTCCCCTGACTGTAATCTCTCGGGGACGTGTTTGGACAGGCAGTGTTTCCGATGCTCGCCCCACGGGGGAGGCAGAGGGGCGACACCTGCTCTCCCGCCACCTCGCTTCACGCGCCGGGACCTCGAGCTGACTTTTGAGGTCACACTGGTTACATACCGAAGTTCAGACCCTTTCGGTGGTTTCTAACTCTCCTCTCTCCTGTGACTGCTGCGTTCCCACAGTTGTAGCTGTCAATCTTTTGCTTTTCCACTAATTTTCTGTGACTAATGTTGCGTAAACTTGGCAGTGATCTTCTCCTGACGTGGGATTTCCAGCTCCTGGGTTGGCCATGAGGAGTGTTTACGGTAAGACAGTGGCTGTTTCCCCATCATTGTGACTCGTTGAAGGCAGGAAAAAAGTGAGGCCACGAGATTCCCAGAAAGATCATAGCCCCGAAGAAAGAAAGTCTTGTCCTTAAAGTCAATCTTGTGTGAGGACTTGTCTTTTCTGCTCACTTTACTCATGAAGCTTATACTTTCCCGCTGAAGACCGTGAGGAAGTTGAACGGTCTTTGTCTATCTCAAGAAGTAGGTTTTAAGACTATTTGGTTTACTTGGTAGGTCATGATAGTTCAATACAAATAAATCAGACATTGACTCAAATTATATAATAAACTTAATTATAAGCTCATAAGACAACATTTTTGTTTATTACAGTTTTCCAAGTTCTGCCCCTTGCTCACGTCTTCATGTGAGAAACGTTGGTGGACGTTCTGAGCCCCTGACGTACTTAACTTGAAGTTCAAGGTCACCACTAACAGCCCAGCAGACACCTCCCCAGCTTGTGCTCACATCGGCCTGTTCACTTCTCTGAAGTCCTCAGGTTCTGAATTACTCCACCGGAGACCGAAACACGCAGGTCTTTTACTCTTGACCCCATTCCACAGCTGGGCGTGTTTTCTCACCGTGAAAACTTTGGACCCCAGCTCTTCACTGTATTCACTCCATTCAGTCTTTCAACCAGGAATCATTAAATTTAGGCATTAAAGAGACGACTCGCTGTAGATTTCAGTACTAAAAACAGCATTGGTCCAAATATGAATTTATTTCTCCCAGAATTTAATTTTGAAACATGTTAAACCTGCGATGAAGTCGAGAAAACGGTGTAGTGAGCACCTGGGTACTGCTCACCTGGATTTGGCAAATGTTAATATTTTGCTAGTTTTGTTTTTTCTCTCTGTCTCACCCCCACCCCACTCACACACACTCACACACTCACACACACACACTGGAAAATATGTGTAAACTTCATGACGCTATTATTAAATGAGTAGGGATGTTCCCCAAGTAATTTCAATCCCACTCTCACCAAAATAAAGATGATTTTGATACAATACTGTTTTCGAATTCATCTTCCATGTTCATTTTTCCAATAGACTTTTAAAAATTATTTTTGATGGAGAATTAAATTAGTGGGAATTTTCATACTTTGTAATTTCCTGTCTGTTGTAACCAGCGTTTCATGAAATCTGGAGGGTTCCCCCTGTTTTATTCNACTGGAAAATATGTGTAGACTTCATGACGCTATTATTAAATGAGTAGGGATGTTCCCCAAGTAATTTCAATCCCACTCTCACCAAAATAAAGATGATTTTGATACAATACTGTTTTCGAATTCATCTTCCATGTTCATTTTTCCAATAGACTTTTAAAAATTATTTTTGATGGAGAATTAAATTAGTGGGAATTTTCATACTTTGTAATTTCCTGTCTGTTGTAACCAGCGTTTCATGAAATCTGGAGGGTTCCCCCTGTTTTATTCTTTCATGATGTCAATACAGTGATGCATATGTAACATTCAGAGGCAATTACTCACTAGAATATGCCACAATCCTATTTGTATCATGTCAATTATAGTAATTATACGTTCTATAAATTAATATTTATAAGACAAAGATTAGGATGATCTAATATACCCAAAGTTAGAAAAATTTAAAGCTTAACCAAGCATTGGGTGGACGTGTGTTCCAGAGTGAAGTCTAAATGCTGAGCTAGACGCACGGTGGACGAAAGGCGTATCGAGATGCCGTGAGCAGGTGAATACGAAGGACTTTGTGCTGCGTTCTTGAAACGAATGACTGGCTCACCCCGGCACGTGGGAGCTTGTTTACATGTGCGCCCGCCCTGGCTCCCATCTTCGGGAATTATTTTGTGGAATAGTATCCTGTTGAATACGGGGCTGTCCACCCCGTTCGCTCGCCAGCAATGGGGACAGGACTCCCCGGGGCCGAGGGGCCGCGGGCAGAGGGCCCTGGGCTGCGAGTTGCCTACAGAAACTGCTCCGCTGACGGCCCCCCGCAGACAGGGACCCGCTGCCGCCCTGGCTGCTCGCCGCCAGGACGCTGGCATTTTTGTAGATGGCGGGAGACGGTGTCTAGACTATTCCTCAGTTGGATTTGTCTAATATCCCCCGTGATCAGAACAAGGCAAATAAGGGAACTGATAGTGGGTCTGTTTTCTGTGCCCTGTAGTAGGGACCTGAGGGCCGTTGGTTCCACCACTGATGGTGATAACTTTGATCCGTTGATCACCACGGGAGCACCTGGCGTCTCTCATCAAAACTCACTCTGTGGCTCTCGGAACAGTTAAGAGGCGTTTGTGACGCATACGGACTCCCTCAGATCCCAACACTTCCCCCTGGCTTAGCATCGATCTTCCTTTCTTGCCTGAAATATTTATTGTGATGATGGATTGCAAATGAATTTTTTATTCTTATCATTTAAAAAAATATCTTAGCAAGAAGTTTTCCTTTCCACTGGACTTTTCCTTTATTTATGGATTCCAGGACGCATAACCCATCACCATGATAGCAGGCGGGCAGCTCCCAGGCTCTCTCATGACCCAGAAAGTGCATTTGAATGTCCTGCGCCGTGTGGGGTTTAGCTTCTGTCACTTAGCAGCCTGCGACGCGAGGCAAGTTACCAACTTCCGGAGGCTTGGCCTCCTTACCTCAAAATCAGCACCCACATTCTAGTTTTTTAACGAGAAGGTAATGTGTTAAAATATGTGAAGCACTTAGAACGTGCGCAGAATGTAGTGGACGTGTCGAGGTGTCATCGGTTCCTATTGTCCGCATCGTTCATTTCCTGCCGTGTGTGTAAGAATATTCCCTGTTGATCTCGCCTGGTGTTCGTCACGGGATCCTCACGTCAAAAGTCTCATCATAGTAATAATTAAACAGCATTTACTAGTTGTTGACCATAAAGCAATTACCGTGCAGAGAACCTTACATGCTTTATCTCACGTGATCTGCAGAACAACCTTAAGATGTGGTGAAATTATCCCCACTTTACGACAAAAATGTAAGGAGATGAATAATAATATAAGAATGAAATATGTGTTTTGAGCACTTGAGACGCTAACCCTCCTTTTGCCCCACCCTGTGTTCATCGCGTCTACCTCCTGGATCCAGTCTTTCTAGGAGCGTGAAAGTTCAGAGAACTATTTACCTCAGTTGTTGAATTCAACTCTGAGTTTTATTAAAGTAAAAATAATGACATGTTTTCTGTATGGGATATATTACCAAGAGCTTGTTTATTAGAGAAAATCTAGTAGGTTCCGCGAAAAGGGATCTCGGCCAGTAATACTGCTTTATATAAATAAATACTTTAAAAAAAAATTATTTCTTAAATGAAGTCTCATCATTTCCCTTTTCTGCTGACTATGGATTCAGGATATACATTTGAAGCCATGGGAAAAATCTTTCATGTTTTAAAAATAAAGTGTGAAAAGTTTAAGAAATATTCATGTGAATGAAAAAGAAAAGTCCATTTCTCTCAGGCCTGAATTTCAGACTATTTGCTTTTTATCGAAAGTCTCATGAGGCCGAGTGATAACTTTTTGGCTTTTAGCAGTAAACCGCCTCTCAGGTGAAAACGAGAAGATTCCCTGCTGATGGTTTGTAGCAGGAAGCAGTGGACGGAGAAGCCCGGGTGAAGGCAGAATGCTCTCATCTCTTAAATATTAACAAAAAAGTTAAAACTGTTTGCCTGGAGCAGGTCCGAGTTTGTCAATAAAAAAGCTACTTCTTACCACAAAGACTGGTTAAGATCGTTACCTGGAGGTCACGAGTGAGACTGTGAGGCTGAGGCAGTGGATGGTCATTGATGGCCCACGGCCTGTCCAGGTACCGAGAAGCAGCAGACCCCTCGCTGCCTGGGAGCCATGGGAGCCCGGAGCCAACACTGACTCACCTACAAATCAGCCAATGACCTGAGCACAGTGGTGAGTCCCTCACGCTGAGGACACATAAAAGGCCCCCTGTGAGCAGAGGAGCCCAGACTGAAGTCACCTCCACCCCTGCTCCACCCAAGGACAAGCTAACAACCAGCA